TTGTAATTCAAAATTTTAGGTAGTTTTTTCTTTTATTTCTTTAATCTATAATTACTTTATTAGCCAATAGAATTAATTTTAAATATTTTTAAAATCACAAAAATTAGCAATTTTAAAAATAAAACTTTAAAACTCTCACAAGCTTTCTCACTAAAAACTCCATTTTTCTTATATAATATACTAGCATATCATCTGTGCTATGCACAGAATAAAATAATATATTATTTATTAAAAATACGATAATTATATTTATTTTTTTATATTTTGTCGCTCTTAAATAAAATTTTACATATAAATTTAAAGGTTTTGTTTCAAATGTTCATTTACTATAATATATAGTATAGATAGAGGCAATTAATAATTTAAATTATGCTTTGTTATTAAAAAAAATGACATAGTTCTAATACTTCACTGTTTTAGAATAAAAATATATGAATTTTAAAAAATTATCATATTGGTTTTTCAAAGGAAATAATTAAAGAAATTTTAAAAACTTAATGAGTAAGAAAGAATTATCATAACATGTAAAATCACTAAAATCAAGGTTAAACCAACAAATCATTCAAATAAAAAATGGTTTAGCTTAATTAGTTAGGTCAAAAGACCAAACAGTTTACACAAAAACTAATTAATTAAAACTTTAAAATTTTATTTTATTAAAATTTCAACTATCATTAAATATGGAAAGTAATCTATTAATTTAAGTTTAAAATCGACATAATATAAATTTAAAATTATAATAATCTATCTCATAATTTATAAGTTTTAAATACAAATTTAAAATTATCATAATTATTCCATAATTTTTGTATTAAGGAACAATAAGAGTGATATTGAGATTATCGATATATCTGTATATTTTATAAAAGAATACTCCATTTTTTCTCCTTATTTTACCGATGTGGGATTATCATCAAATAAAAGTTAGCCAATAAAGATTTTCTTAATTGTTCAAAATTAATAAAATCAAGACAATTAGTATGAGATACTGAAACTTTCACAATGCTTTTCTCTAAATGGAATTGGAGTATAAGATTTACTTTTTATGAATAAAACAACTCATTTTTTCATTATTTTCTCGATGTGAAATTATCAAATAAAAATTTGTCAATGGAGATTTTCTTAATTGTTTAAAATTAAAAAAATCAATAAAATTTGTATGAGATATTGAAATCTCACAAGGCTCCTCACTAAATTTAAAATCGACACTATATAAATTTAAAATTATAATAATCTATCTCATAATTTATAAGTTTTAAATACAAATTTAAAATTATCATAATTATTTAATAATTTTTGTATTAAGGAGTAGTAAGAGTGACATTGAGATTATCGATATATCTATATATTTTATAAAATAATACTTTTAAGGAGAGATATTATGAGAGTTTCAAAATCCAATACAAAATTATTTTTAAAATCAAAATCTCTATGTGAGATTGTAAAATAAAAGTTAAATAGAAGCTAGCCAATGAGAATTTTCTTAATTGTTCAAAATTAAGAAAATCAAAAAAATTAGTATGAGATATTAGTCATAAGGCTTCTGACTAAATATCTCATTTTGCTTAGATAAATGGGAGCATAAGATTCACTTTATGTAAGTGAAACAATTCATTTTTTTTCCTTATTTTCTCGATCTGGGAATATAAAATAAAAATTAAATGGACGTTAGCCAATGGGAATTTTGTTAATTGTTTAAAAGTTAACAATTGGTTAGACGGAAAGTTTATTTCGAATCAAACAATCTTAGCCATTTAGTCTTTAATTAGGTCAATTTTTAATTTATTTCGAATCAAACGAATTTAACTAATATATTTTGATAAAACTGTTAAAATCGTAATTAAACCAACGAATCAGACAAGCCGAAAATGGTTCACCCTATCCGTTAGGTCAAAGTACCAATCAATTCATACAAAAATTAATTAATTACAACTTTTAAATTTTATTTTAATTTTAAAATTTAAATTGTCTTGAACTGAAATATACACAACACTACAATATTAAACAGGAGCACAAGGTTTATATAGTAAAACAACTCATTTTTTTTTTCTCATTTTCCTAATGTGGGATTGAAAAATAAAAGTTAACAGTTGTTAGATAAGAAGTTTATTTCTAATTAAGCAATCCCAGTCGTTCAATTTTTAATATGGTCAATCTTATTTTATTTCAAATGAAACAGATCTAAGCAATATATTTTGATAAAATAATTAAAATCGCAGTTAAACCAGTGAATCAGCCAAATCGAAGAAGATTTAGCCTAATCGACTAAGTAAAAAACCCAACCAATTTACAACAAAATTATTAATTAAAATTTTAATTTTATTTTAAAATTTAAACAATTTTGAACTCAAACATGTACAATACTATAATATTAAATGAGATTAAAGATTCACTTTATATAAATAGAACAACTTACATTTTCTCTTCTTTTTTTTTTATGTGAAATTGTAATTATTTTAAAGTTAAATATTATGAGAGTTTCAAAACCTCATACAAAATTATTTTTAAAATCAAAACGTCTATGTGAGATTATAAAATAAAAGTTAAATTGAAACTAGCCAATGGAGATTTTCTTAATTGTTTAAAATTAAGAAAATCAAAAAAATGAGTATGAGATATTGATTATAGAGATTTTCACTAAAAATCTCATTTTACTTATATAAATTAGTTTATTTCGAATTTAATCAATATATTTGATAAAATCGCTAAAGTCCCGGTTAAACTAACGAATCAATCAAATCAAAAATGATTTAACCTAATCAGCTAGGTCATAATTAATTAATTAAAACTTTTAAAATTTGAAATATATTGAATTGAAACATGCACAACAGTAAAATATTAAATGGGATGGGAGATTCACTTTATATGAGTAAAACAACTCAGTTTTTTTTCTTTATTTTCCCGATGTGGGATTATTAATTAAAAGCTAACCAAGAAAGATTTTCTTAATTGTTTAAAATTAAAAAAATCAAGAAAATTAGTATGAGGAAACTCTCACATAACTCTTCACTAAATGTAGTCAATCAATAGAGATTTTCTTAATTGTTTAAATTATGAAAATTAAAAAAATTAGTATAAAATATTGAAACTCTCACAAGATTCATCACTAAATGGGATGTGAGTATAAGATTTACTTTATATGAGTAAAATAATTTTTTTTTTCATTCTTTTTCCGTTTTAAAATTATCAAATAAAAATTAATCAATAGTTGTTTTTTTAATTATTTAAAATTTAAAAAATTTAAAAAATTAATACGAGATATAAACTCTCATAAAATTTTTGACTAAAAATTTTATTTTTTTATATAAATAGATAGATAAGACCGTCTGATCTAATCCTACATAAATTATAGATGAGAGTGTCCGACTATTTGGAGGAGCTCACCACGTTTTGGACTTATCGGCCCACTAGCGATTTGAATGGATTGGAGAGTCCATTCTCCCATTAAGATAATGTTCAACTACTTCATGAGTTCTTTCATTAATTCAGGTGGAGCCCATATTTATGAATCAATAGCTAATTGGTTGTTGGACATTGGCCCGTTTAGTAGAGCGGTGTGAAAGTGATTATAACTTATATCTTAATAGTTTATAGCTTAGAACTATAAACATAAACTGATTTTTGACTTATAAATTAAGTTTTTCCTCCCCACTTAAAGAATAAGTTGATTTTTGACTTACAAAAAGTTATAAACTGTATTGTTAAGCTGAACCAAACATATCAAAATAGCTTAAATTAAGCTAAAAGTTGAAATAAGTTAGAAATAAGGCCTACCAAACAGGGCCATTGTAACCGGGGGCAAAATAATAAAATAAATAAAACAATTAGGCTTTGGCATATTTATTTTATTTTATTTTATCTTTTTTTAAGTTATATTATTTTTTATTTTTTTAAATATTTTTTATAAAAAATTAAAAATACATTTATTTAAATCATTCTAAACAATTTTTTAGTGTTTTAAAAATATTTATATTATAATAATATCACACTGCCTTGTATGAAATACTTATTAGTTAATTGAAATTTTTTAATTTTTTACAAATTTAGATATGTGATTTTTTTTTTAATGTTAGTTTTTATTTAATTTTCAATCTAATTTTTTGTAATCTAGTTTTAATAGAGGAACATGTTAAATCTCCCACAATAAAAAACATTTAAAAAATGGAAAAAAAACAAGTCAAAAAATAATTTTTTTAAAGAAAAAAGTTCAATCTGTGAACTGTCTACATATCCGTGAATCTTATTCGCACAAACTATAATTCACATTATGAGTGATTATAGATTCAATTTTTTTTCCAATCACAGACATATAAATAAGTTCAAACCACAAACTGAATCGTCAAAAATCAATCTGTAAACACTCCTACTTCTAAGTCCATCCTTTAATAAAAGAATAAAGTGAATATACGAATTGAGTTTGTGCTGATAGTATAAAAGTGAATAAATAAGTATTTTAATGAAATGGTCCTTCTATTTTAATTTATGCCTTATTTGTTATAATTTAAAAAAATTAAAAAAATTATTATTCTATTTAAGTCATATCATTTTTTTATTATATTATTTTAAATTTAATTTATATTTTATATATATTTTTTTAAAAATAAAAAATATATTAATTTAGTACTTTCTAAATAACTTTTTATTTAGGGATTGTTTGGAATATCTTAAATAAGTGTATTTTTTGATTTTTTGGATTAAAAAGTTAAGAAAAAAATATAATTATTTAGGTTAATTTTTTGAATTTTTATAAAAAAATGTGTATTAAAAAATTATATAAATTAGTGTGTAGGAAAAAATTAGAATTAAGAGTTGTGCAGCTGTAATTTTTGACTTTTGATGAATAGTAATAATTTTTAAATTTTTTGAGTCACTTTTTAACTTTTTAGCCACATGCCAAACTTGACTTTACAGCATTTGATTGCTAAAAAAAAACAATTTATTTATTTATTTCCGTACTAATTAATAATAAATAAATCGGAATTAAAGATCCTCTCTCTAAACTATCTTGAAAAAAAAATAGATTCTCTCTCTAAAAGTCACACAAATCACACACCCCACCGCCTTGTTGATCCCATCTCTTTCTCATCTGTTATCGGCCGTCTTTGGCCAATTCACAATTCAGTGTCGGCAATTCCAGTTTGGAATAGCGATTTTATTGAGCTGATTAATGGTAATTATGTATGATTTGCTTCATATTATACATGTATATAGAGGGCTATATATATGTATAGTGTCTTTGTTTCTTTTTTTCTTGGGCTGTCGCTTTCATTCACCATCTGTTCGTATAGTAATTAATTGAACTAGTACCATTTTTCCCTCTTCTTCTTCTCTGCCTTCAGGTCGAGTCACTGTTGTTATTCACTCTCCTAGTTGCTCGTGGGTGGTCCTGACTCAGACCCAAGAAAAACAACACATTCATCATGATGATGAAAAGGCTAGTAAGTACGTTTATTTTTCTGCTTTTAATGTTTTTGCTCTTACTTTCTCTTCATTTGTAGTTATGGTTTATTGTGATTAATTGTCAAATCAGCATCTGGGTATCTGAAATATATGTTGTCATCCGACTTTTCATTTCTAATTCCATTCAATTCAATTCATTTTTTTATTTTATTTATTTAATGCTGCCCAATTGTTGATTTTGATGGATTGGCTGATTCTTTGCCGTGAATTTGAGTTTTAGAGTGCGTTGCAATGCTAATTAGAAAATCCCATCTTATGTAGTCATGTTGTATTGTACTAATTTGCTGGGTTTCTGATATATATATATATATATATTCTGGGTCAAAATCAACTTGATCTTTACATTTGTTGTAGTGTTTATTCATTTTTCTACTTGGTTCTACTACATTGTTTTTGCCCTTGAAGTTCACTAACCAAAGAATGAGATGCAATGTGTTCTTTCATGGAAATGGATTTAGGTTTTGTTTTCTTTTTTCTGAATGTATATGATGGTAAGGAACTATGTTTGAGGTGTTTTTTTTTCTTCTAATTTTCATTTTATTGCTTTGAAATCAATTGGCTGCACAAACTCTCAGATTTACTCTTTATTTCAAGATTTCAACATTTAAAAAAAAAAAAAAAAAAAAAGAATTGATCTCTGATACTTCGAGTTACAGCTCCCTTGTTCTTCATGCGCAAGCAGGTAAAACTCGTAACAGGACAGAAGAAGGCCTCACTTAAGATGGCTTTTGTTTGGATGGATTTCTTTCTCGGATTCCAGGATGGATTTCCTTCTAAGGACCCAAATTGTACTGAATATCTGTAGATTTTGTTGAACTTATTTTTATAATATAGTATCTATTGGTTTGCTTGTGGCTAGATGATGTACATAGCTCTGAATTACAGACTATGAGAGTTGTATGTTCTTTTATTTTCTGGTTAAAGTTTTCATCATTGTTGGCTCATATTGATTTCTTTTTCCTTTGATGTGAGTATGAGAATAATATTAGTATAGTATATATTATAGTGAGGTTAATAAATTTTCCTGAAATTGTTGAAAACTTTGCACAGTTTTAGTATGACTATCAGTTTTAGTGATTTTGATAGTTGAATTGGCCTTCAATATTTTTCCTATTTAATTTTTTTTTTTTTTTTTTCAATATGTAATTAGTTAGGATTCTTCTTTAATTGTTAATCTATAAATATTGAAATGGTATAACAGTTTCAGCCAAAAAGAGAGATTGTAGGGACTGCTTGCAACTGCAAGTTGAATTTCTGTTTTACAATGCTCTTTACCTTTATCTTTTGTTCCCTCTTCTTTTCAGGTGGCACTACTTTTGCTTCTGGCATTAAGTGATGCTGTTGGAACCCTTGGGGCTCAAAATGAAGGACAATGTGAATTCAACGGGCCTTTGGAACCCAGACCTCACAGTGTGTCCATCTTGGAATTTGGGGCCGTTGGGGATGGGAAGACGTTGAACACAGTTGCTTTCCAAAATGCTATTTTCTACCTAAAGTCATTTGCTGACAAGGGTGGTGCTCAGCTCTATGTTCCGAAGGGCAGGTGGCTTACTGGAAGCTTCAATCTTACGAGCCACCTTACACTTTTCCTGGCAAGAGAAGCTGTAGTTCTGGGATCGCAGGTTCTTATTTTGGACTTAATTTTATCCATTTCATTAGAAATAAAAGAAAATTGCATTCTTCTTGTGATACAACTAAGAGTCCCTTAGTTATGCTGTGGTAGCCATGGAAACTATTGCGTTAAGTGCTTGGCTTGGAACCATACTTGCTACTTTCTTTCTCAGTATTTGTTTACGGGGGTTATATGCTATGTACAAAAGTGGCAGCAGTGCATGATCATTTTTCTAAAAACCAAAAAACCCTTGACTTTCATTTGGGGTTGCATGTTATCTACCTGTTTATTTTTGCCAAATATGGGACAAAAACAATCATGTATAATGTTGATCTCACACATAACCAATCCCTTCGTCAATGTGTATATTTTTATGGGGATGTGGAACATTTTGGAATTCTATGCATGATTTGTTTTGTTTTACCATCACCTGAATTAGATTCTAGCATACTCCTATTTAAACCTATTTAATGGATAGAAAGATGACATGTCAATTTGCTGCACGGAAATGATACTATTTGTTTATTTTCTGTTTTTAGTTTGGCGGGGTATCGATAAGAGACAAACTGGACAATTTTCTTCTGCCGAAATTGGTCTTTTATCTTCCATTCATTTTGCTTGTGGTAAAATCAGAATTTTTTTTCTTTCTTTTAGGCTTTTAGCCCTTGTTGGTTCTTGACCTCCATCTTCAATGCTTTTGCTACAAAATCATGTCTTTATTCCAATTGCCAAAAATATAGTAGCTCAACTGGTAAAATTTTTTTTTCAGTAACTCGAAGAAAATTTAAGGGCTTGTGCTTGACTAAACAAGAAATATGGACATTAACAGAAAGCCAACAACTAATGGGGCAAGATAAGGATATAATACTCATTCAATAGGTGTGATTTTTCTTGTTACGAGAGAATTAATGTGCAGTTGGAAAGAGGCCAAGATAACAACAGCCTAGAACTTTCCAAAACCAATCTTGTTGTGCGCCATAATTTTCTCATGCTCCTATTTAATAACAATTTGGCCAAGCCAGTGTAAAAAAAGTTGGCAATTCACTGTCATATTTTGCAATTTAGCATATCTTTTCTAGCTAATGGATTTGTAATCTGAATTAGTTGATCATATCAATACTCGCATCCTTCAAATAAAGGTGAGTTTAGTTTATCCTTTATTTTTTTCACATTGCAGGATTTATCTCACTGGGAAATCGTTGAACCTTTACCATCTTATGGCCGGGGGATTGAACTGCCAGGTGGAAGATATCGCAGCTTGATTACTGGATATAATTTAACTGATGTGGTGATAACAGGTAAGTGTATCTCCTCATTTCTTCTTTTTCTGCCTACTCTTTCCGTTTTGGTAGTTCGTAATTTTTCTTTTTTACATACGTCCGTTGATTGCACCAGGTGGCAACGGAACTATTGATGGCGAGGGTTCTATGTGGTGGAACCAGTTCAGTTCTCATTCCTTAAACAACAGCCGTCCACCTCTCGTCGAATTTATTAGCTCTAGTGATATTGTTATATCAAATATAACCTTTTTAAATTCACCTGCATGGAACATCCATCCAGTATATTGCAGGTATCTTGGCTAACCACCTCTAACGACTAGTTTGTCTCTAATGGATTCTTAACTTTAAGCGTTATAAAGTTTAGTTTGATTGATAATAACTAGTGGATATGATGCAGTTATGTGCTAATTCAAAACATAACCGTCCATTCTCCTCCCAATTCTCCTTACACTAGTGGAATAATCCCAGGTTCGTACGAAAATATTTCTTTATTTATCTTAGTTCTTGGTTGCATCTTTCACAGAGAATTTTTATTTTTTTTATTTTTTTTTATAGGCTTTCACTGGGGATAGGACTGTTATGTATTGATAATTTTCCTAATTATTGATATTTTGGCTTAAATATAAGATGAATGCAAACATTCAAAAAACCAACCCGCTATAAGTACACAAAATGTTTCACACGAGATATTGGTTTCGTTTTCTTTCCTTTCTTTTATAAACCACCCCCAATAATCGTGTTTCATCTACAACAATGCTACTCGTAATATCACTGAACCATTATTTTTGCCTCTTCTATATATTGGTGTAAACTTATGCAGTTTCTTTCTTAATATTGAGTGCAAGATTGTTGAGATCATATAATATAGATTATCTTTTTCTAACAAAAGATGAAATGAAATTTATCAGATTCTTGTGACCATGTGTGCATCGAGAATAGCAACATTAGTATGGGTTACGATGCCATTGCGCTCAAGAGTGGATGGGACGAGTATGGAATTGCCTATGGCAGACCAACCACAGATGTCCACATCAGGGATGTTCACCTTCAGTCTTTTTCTGGCTCTGGTCTGGCTTTTGGCAGTGAGATGTCCGGTGGCATCTCTAACATACTTACCGAGCACCTTCACATATCCAATTCATTCATTGGCATAGAAGTGAAGACATCAAGAGGTCGGGGTGGTTACATAAAAGATATTCTCATATCAGATGTGGAAATGGTAAATGTTGATATCGCTATTGAGGCTACAGGTCAATGTGAATCGCACCCGGATGACAAATTTGATCCTTATGCACTTCCTGTTGTCAAGGGCATCACTTTTAAGGACATAGTTGGCACGAACATCACTACCGCGGGGAAGTTTTCAGGAATTGATGAATCTCCTTTCACTTCAATTTGCCTATCAAATATTTCCTTTTCCATTGCCTTTGATCCTTCTCCTTCATGGGTATGTTCCAATGTGTCAGGTTTTTCTGAGGCAGTGTCTCCTGAACCATGTCCTAATCTTCAGACCCCACTTTCGAATTCTTCTTCAGCTTGCTTCATTTTCTTGTATCCAAGCAGTCGCGTAGCGATTTTATGATACCAACACCTTAAATTACATTTATCAGTTTCATCCAATCCATACAATGAGGTTCTAAATGCGTCTTTGGGTTTCTGCTTTGAATTCAAGTGGATAATCGTCGAAAAAGTTGCAGATTCAGCATCTTCCATCGATTTAATTGAACATTGTCAAGTCCTGCAATGGAACCCTTCCAATCTGGCATCTCATCCAGGTCGGTTGCTCATGTACAGCCTCATTTTCTTCATTCACGTTTGAGGAAATTTTTGGCAGTGCACTAAGCACATACTTCTTTTAATTTTTTTTTTTTATAAAATTATTTTATGATGTTTACTCTTTAAATTTTGTTTTGTTACTTTATGTTACACTGTGAATTTGTGTATTGGTGATGGCCAATAGGATTGTGTAGTAGTGGATGGGCAAAGGGTGTTCAAGGAGTGATGTTGTTCTGTCAATAAAAAACAAAAAGAATAGAAAAGGGAGTGATATTGATATTGTTGGAATAAAATTGTCTTTTATAGCTTGTCAATAATTATGATTACCGGCTGGATCTCAAACAGTTTATTGATTATTTATTATTATTTTTTGTCTGCATTAAGATATGTTAATAATTGTTGCAATTTCTTCGTCAAAGAACAATACCAAATAATTCTCTATTTGAATTTGAATGGAGCTACTAGGCTTGGATTGTTTAGTCTGGATCTGCCTGATTTGCAGATCAGGTGTCCGATTCAAAATATCCAACCCGATCCAATTATCCAATCCCAATTGGATACGCATATATTTGATCGACTATATATATGATCTAATTATAATATTCAAGATTTTAGTATCTTCAAAGCTTTGCTGCAATTTGGAACTTTGCAAAACAAATTGAGAAACTTGACGGATAAACTTGTCATATATAAAAGGGTAAATTAGATTAACCATTTTTATAATTTTAAGTTTGGAATTTGTGTCACTTTAATTCTTGACTTTTTAATTGTAATATATTTGATCTTAAATTTTGAATCTTGCTTTAAATAAAAACAATTGAATATATCATTAATCAATTTCAAGGAAAAAATCGTCAATTTATTAAAATATAATTAATTTGACAAAAATAAATGTTAATAAAATATTTTAAAATTTTTAAAAATTGTTTATACCCATCAAAGATAAAAAGGTAAATTACAAATACATCTGCTGAGATTTGCTTAAAATATATATTCCGCTCTTATTAGAATTTTTTATTTAACATAATTAACTAAAAAAATGAAATTCATAATTACTCTCTTATACAATAATAAAATTACCTAAATTATTAATTGAAACATATTTTTTAACATCATTAAAAACTGTTAATTGACTTGATGATTTATTAATAAAAGTGATGTTTTGTTATGAAATTAGAAACCTCAGGGAGTGAAATGTAATTTTTAAAATTACAAGGGGCGATTTGTATTTTAATCAAATCTCTGGGGGTGTATTTGTAATTTATCCAACATAAAATTATGTAAAATTAATAAATCTTTTACACATTTATTTATTTACCAATTAATTTTTATTATGCGTTTGGATAATGATCATGTAATGGATGGTCGTTTTTATTTTCATTAAATTACTTTCTTTTTTTTCAAAAGTCAAATATGACGACAATTTTAATATCATTGTTAAATCAGTCCATTAAATCAAAAAATCCAAAACTAAAAACATTTCATATATTAAATTATAAAGCTAAGAAAAACCAATACAACCGACAAAACCGATTGAACCGGACCAAACTAGCTATATTTGGTCTGTTTTTTAATAAGAATTAGTCTGTATGGTTTTTAAATTTGAATTTTTGTGATTTTCGATTCGGTATCAATTTAAGTACCTAATGCACCAATCTAAATCGAAACCAACCGCTTCAACATATATTGTATTTATTTATATAATCTAATGATATAATGATTAATAAATATAATAAATTATTGACCTTAATTAATTAACCTTATCATCTTTATAGTCTAAATTTGTAAACTCTTATTACATATAATCTTAACTCTACTCATTATTCTTGAAACGTTAGTATTTTTAAACTTTTTTTTTTGTTTTTATTTTTGTTAATTTAGGAATTGAAAAGTATGTATTAAATTGGATATGTTTGGAATGGTAGACAAATAATTAATTTTAATATTTTTTATATAGATTAATGATTATATTTAAAAGTGGCTTTCGTTTAAAAAATCTTAAACCGATTAAACCGCACCAAACCGAACCGTTTCAACCGGTTTGATTGGAAAAGCGATCTGTATCAGTGTTCAAAATAGTAAAACTGACATTATCGGTTTGGTGTAATTTTTTATCTAAATACCGATCGTACCGAACCGATTACACCTATATTAAATATATTGATTTCACATTAAAAGTCGATTATCATCTAAACACATAATAAAAATTAATTTGGTAAAATAAATAAATAAATAAATGCATAGAAGATTTATTAATTTTACATAATTTTATCTTTGGTGGGTAGAAATAATTTTAAAAATTCAAAAATATTTTTTTGACATTTATTTTTGTCAAATTAGTTTATATTTTATCAAATTGACTACTTTACCCTTGAAATTGAGCAATTGTATCTTCAATTATCCTTATTTGAAATAAGATTCAAAATTTAAAGTCAAATGTGTCACAATTAAAAAGTTAAGAACTAAATTGATACGAGTTTCAAACTATAAGGATTTGTTAGTATAATCCGCCCTATACAAATATAGATTACATAAGCAAATAACGCAAAACAATTGCTACATTTGTGGCAACTCATCATGTGTCACAGAAAATCAAAATAAATGACAAAAAAGAAAAGAGAAGAAAAGAAAAGAATAGATAAAAAAAGGGAGATTTGGTGATAGCCCTCTTACTATTTAACTTGTCTTTTAAAAGGACAAAAATTATATAAGTTCTTTCAAAACCCCATAATATTTTAAAACATGTTTCTTTTACTATATTACTCTCATATCTAACAGCTCTCCTATTAAGCCATCTTCACTGTGTATTTCAGAGTAAAATTTTACTCTGAAAAACTAGTAAAATGTTAGACTCTACACAAAAATAAAATTTTACTCTGTATAAAAGTAAAATTTTACTCTGGAAAACGAGCAAACTGTGAGACTCTGAAGCTAAAAGTAAAATTTTACTCTGAAAAACTAGTAAAATGTTAGACTCTACACATATTTTACTTTTACTCTGTATAAAAATAAATTTTACTTTGAAAAACAAGCAAACTGTGAGACTCTGAAGATAAAAGTAAAATTTTACTCTGTATAAAAGTAAAATTTTACTCTGAAAAATTAGTAAAATGTTAGACTCTACACAAAAGTAAAATTTTACTCTGCATAAAAGTAAAATTTTACTTTGAAAAACGAATAAACTATGAGACTCTGAAACTAAAAGTAAAATGTTACTCTGCACAAAAGTAAAAAAGCGAAGGCATTGTTTGTGGCGGCCGAAGTGTTTGGCAATGACCACCTCTTGATAATAAAATTTTACTGTCATTCTAACACCAGAGTAAAATTTTATTGTAATTCTCTCAAACAAAAAACAGAGCAATAGAACAAGAAAAAGTAAAATTTTACTCTGAAAAATTAGTAAAATGTTAGACTCTACACAAAAGTAAAATTTTACTCTGCATAAAAGTAAAATTTTACTTTGAAAAACGAGTAAATTGTGAGACTCTGAAATTAAAAGTAAAATGTTACTCTGCACAAAAATAAAAAAGCGAAGGCAGTGTTTGTGGCGGCTGAAGTGTTTGGCAATGACCACCTCTTGACAGTAAAATTTTACTGTCATTCTAACACCATTGCCAAACACTTCAGCCGCCACAAACACTGCCTTCACTTTTTTACTTTTGTGCAGAGTAACATTTTACTTTTAGATTCAGA